TATTTTTTAGTTCTCGGTGGACACAACATCTTTGTTGGTATGTGGTGCTGAGGATCGAACCCGGGCCGCACGCATGCCAGGCGAGCGCGCTACCGATTGAGCCACATCCTCAGCCCTTTAAATATTCTTTTATGGAGGAAGGGACCCAGGAAGGAAAAATATTTGGGGCTCATAAAAGTCACAATGCAGCCCTTATGAGAGATCTCAGGTGGGTAGTAGAATTGTTTGAGCCAAGGCAGTAGACAGCCAGAAAGACAGGAGTTAGTAATGGGAAAGTGTGATACTTAAAACTGAGATTTATGAGGTGTGTAAAAGCTACTGGTAGCAACAAGATCTAGGGTGAGGCTTCTTGGAAAAAAAGAAATAATAAAATATAAAGTTTTTTTTTTCAGGTATCTGCTGCTATATTAACCACACCAAAATTTAGTGGCTTATATTTATATTTATATATCATTTATCTGCTTATTCAGCAATGAGTGCTATGCTGGGCTTTGCTGAGCAGTTGTGTTGGACTTGCCTAGGTTCATTCATGTGTCTACAGTCATCTGGAAGCTTGACTGGGTGAGATAACCTATTATGACCTAACTTGTCGGGTGGTCACTGGCCAAGGTATCTTGATTCTCCTCATCTTCCTGTAGGCCAGACTGAACCTTCTTTACATGATGTTGTAAGTATTTTGAGAAAGTAAGGGAATAATTTCAATGTCTCTTGAGACTTTGACTCTAGGAACTCACACTGTCATTTTTTGCTACATTCTATTAGTCAAAAACAAGTGGTAAGTTCAGCCCAGGTGAAAGATGTTGAAATAGGGCTGGGGATGTGGCTCAAGCGGTAGTGCGCTCGCCTAGCATGCGTGCGGCCCGGGTTCGGGTTCGATCCTCAGCAGCACCACATACCAACAAAGATGTTGTGTCCGCCAAGAACTAAGAAAAATAAATAAATAAATGTTAAAATTCTCTCTCTCTCTCTCTCTTAAAAAAAAAAAAAAACAAAAAAAAGAAAGATGTTGAAATAGACATCACCTCTTGCTCAGAGAAGCAGCAAAATCATTGCAAAGGATCATATGGGAGAAGAGGTAGTAAGGCCATCTTTGCAAACATTTATCTCACTTATTGTAAAAATTATCTATTTCATACTGAATCATCAAGAATCACCAAGAAGCCAGGCATGGTGGTACTTGCCTGTAATCTCAGAGATTTGGAAGGCGGAGGCAGAAGAATTGCAAGTTGGAGGCCAGCCTCAGCAACCTAGCAAAATCCTGTCTCAAAATAAAAAAAATGAAATAGGATTGGGGGTGTGGTTCAGAGGTAAAGTGTTCATGGGTTCAATTCTCCAATACAAAAAAAAAAAAAAAAGAATCTGACGTAAGTGGGAATGAGCAGAATGACAATAAGACAGGTGCTAAAATCTTCAAAGCATGAGGGGGAAGTAAGTGGTATCATCTGATGCCATCAATATTAAAAGCTTCAAATGTCTTTGTAATTTTTATCAGTGAATTTTAATACATTTAATCAATGAAAAGGAATTATTCATTTTTCACAACTTCTTTGACTCAATCACTTGTCAGTTCAGATTCTAAAACAGTTACATAACTATATGCATGAAAATTTGAGGCACCCCTGTTTATCTAGAAGCAGTATTTATAGTGCTTAAGATGATATCTGGCACTTGGAAGTAGCACATAGCTAGATGTTCAATATATATTGGTTGAATGAATTAATGACATAAACACAATCTATGTGGCCAATAATCAGGATTAGGTTGAATAAATTATAGTATATATCTTCAATGGAATATCCCACAGTCATTGAAAATCATGTTTTCAAGGACTATCAATATATTGCATGGAATTTAAAAATCAGGATATAACATTGTAGATATGATATGATTATACCTGTATTTACATATCTGGATAGGAAAAGGGGCCAAACCAATAATAGAGTGGTTTTATCAAGCTGGTAGAATTATGAGTGATTTTTCCTTTATTTTTTAAAAAGCTGATGGGTGGACTGGGGATGTGGCTCAAGCAGTAGCGCGCTCACCTGGCATGCGTGCGGCCCAGGTTCGATTCTCAGCACCACATACAAACAAAGATGTTGTGACTGCCAAAAACTAAAAAAATTAATTAATTAATTAAAAAAAAACTGGATGGGGGGCATGGTGGTATATACTTGTAATTCCATCAATTTGGGAGGCTAAGGCAGGAGGAATGGAAATTCTAGGCCAGCCTCAGCAATTTAGTGAGACCTTAAGCAACTGAGCAAGACTCTATCAAAATAATAAGTAAAAAGGACTAGGGATGTAGCTCAGTGGTAAAGCACTCTTGGGTTCAATTCCCAGTACCAAAAAAAAAAAAAAAAAAAATGGAGCTGGGGATGTAGCTCAGGTAAAGCACTTGCCTAGTATGCCTAAGGCTTTGCACTCAATCTCCGGCACCACAAAGGGAAAAAAGAGTTATACAAGTTCATTTTGGAAAAAGTGAAAATATTGAAAAGAATAAGAAAAAAAAACCTCTTATAATTCTACCATCCAGAGAACACTATTGCCACTGTTGAAGCAGGTTCCGCTTTGTTTTTTTGTTCCCCCCACTCCACTTAACATTTTCTTAGCTTTTTGACCATCTTTAGACTTCAAAAAGGTGACTTTTAACCATCACATAGTGTTGAAATACCATAATCTATTTTGCCTATAGTAAATTTTGACATTATGGTTTGTAATTTTTTGCTGAACAATATCTTAGAACAAAATAAATGATAGAGCCATGTCATTATTCAAACTCATAAAGTTCTTCATGTAAGAGGGGATCAAAGTGGACAGTAAACTTGCTAGAGAGCTGAGGAGAGCTGAATGTTACATCCAGTGAAGACTGTTCAGTAAAAATGAACACAGGTGCTCTGCCCTTGTCCGGGCGTTTATGGAAAGCTGTTCTGTAAGGCTAGAGACTCTCCAATGTTTTGAATTTAAAAATGGCAAAATTTCTATCAGAAGGAATGGGACTTAGCCTTCTTGATCTCCTGCACTCTTGCCCTGGGCAAACAAGAAACTATGTTTCAGGTCCTCGCCTTGTTCAGGTGTCTAAGCCTATAGTAGGGACAGGTAAAAAGCCTAGAAGGGCAGTTCTCCCCAACCTCTCCCTAGAAAACTCTAAAGTGAACTCCTGGTTGAGGCAATATTAACCTGAGGACAAGAACAGTTGTGATGGGGTCCTGAAGCTAGAAGTGTGTGTGTGTAGAGGTAACACTGACAAAATCGGGGCATTCCCAGTTCAGGGAGGCTTCCTAGAGGTGGTTACGGGAAGGAATGGGGTGGAAGATTGAGACTGATGGGGAAAAGGAGGGGTGGACCGGGCTGATATTTAGATAGGCACGTGTTAATCCTGGAAGGCTGTAGATGATAATGAGAGAAAGAGGGGGGGGGGGCGAGGAGGAAAGGAGCTGACGGAAGAAGCCTGCGAGGAAGATTCTTCAAGCGGGGTGGAAAAGAGGGCGGAGCAGGCTGGCGACAGTAGGAGGGCGGGGAGCAAGTGCGCCCTGATTGTGCACGGGATATATATGAAAGCGTGATGGGCAGCCGACTGGTGAGAGCGGAGGTGGGGCGTGGGGTGAGGGGCACGAGTCAGGAAGCAGGGATGGGAGATGGGATAATAGCAGAGACCCGCACCATTGGCCGGCAACTCACAGTGTGTGCCCAAGATTAGACTCCCAAGATTTCCTTATTTTCGTTGTTTGAAGGAAGGTTCGGGGAGGTTAGGTGGGCGCGGAGGGCGGGGTCTCGGTGGGCACGGAATGGTGCTGGCGCGCAAGTGAGG